CCTATTAGAAAAAGTAGCCAACAATAATAAAGATACTTTTATTAAAGCTTTTATCGATAAATTAAATAAAATCGAAGGTTTTAAAAATAAATTTAAAGAAACTGATTTTAACTTTGATGTTACCCCTGCAAAAAGAGGTAATAATAAAACTATAGTTATTATCAGTTCAAATAATGAAGACAAAGTAAAAGGTAAGATTGATGTAAGTGTTGGAAACTATCCCGACCTAAAATTGGATCTTTATAACTTATTAGTCGAAATTAAAGAGTTAATCAAAAGCAAAAAGCCTATGACTAAAGATGACTTTAATAACTTAATTAAAGAGATCTTGTCTAGAGATTCTCATAAAGAATATAATATTAACCTAGACGAATTAAATATCAGCTTTATACCTCCAAAAAATGGAGCCAATGGTAGTTATTCTATTGAAGCAAAAGATGATAGTTTAAATGCTAAAGGAAAAATTATAAACCAAGAAATCGATGTTTATGATCACTTATTAATTGATCTAAGTGATCTAACAAATATTGTTGAAAAACTAATAAAGGATATTGATAATAACAATGAATCTACATTTATAAAAAACTTTATTAAAGAACTAAATAAACCTGATAGTAAATACAAAGATTACAACTTCGATAAAGATGATTTTGACTTTGACTTTAATCCAGCAACAAAAGCTAATAACAAATTAAAACTTACTATAAAACCTGATAATAATAAAAAACTAAAAGGCTTACTTGAAATAGATCATTCATATGATCAATATATAATCAACCTACAAGATCAAGCCTTTATAAATAAAATTAGAGAATTAATTAATAAAGAACAACCAGATACTAAACAAGATTTTATTTCAAAGTTACAAGATTGATTTAATAATAGTGAATACTATAAAGAATATGAAATTGATGTAGAAAAAGATCTTAATATTACTAATTTTATTCCACCAAAATTTGGTGTAAATAAAAATGGTAGCTTTTCTATAGAATCCAATAATAATACTAAATTTAAAAACTCTACGACTGATATAGATATACCTTATTATGAAAAATACAAAATCCATCTTTCTAAATTTAAAGAAGCTTTGTTTGAGAAAATTAAAGATAAATGGCCTGATGAAAATGAATTAAAACAATTTGTAAAAGATGTATTAGCAGAAGGACAATTTAATAAATATAAAGACCAAAACATAATTAATATAGATGACTTAAAGATTACAATGAAATTTAACAATCCAAGTAATGGTAGCCCTATAACATTAGATATTAATATCGCCCTAAATGAGAAAAAACATTTTAGTCTTACATCTACTTCCCCTTCCGCTATCGACATACCATTAACTTATTCTATAAAAGCTATGTTTGATGATTTAATGAATGAGTTAAAAAAACCAAACGCCTTAGATGGTTTAAAAAACTTATTAGAAGAAAAAGAAAGTTTTTACAATTGAAAAAAAGCAAGTGATATAGTAAAAAGATGATTAAAAGAAACTTATTCTAATAAACATAAATATAACCCACTGTTTAAATATGGAGACAAATGAGAAGTAAAATGGTTTGATAATAAAGATGGTGAGATTAATGGTGTTATGGGAAAAAGCAGACAAGATTTTGTTGGATCTATTATGTTTAAATATCGTTATGGCCAAATATCTACCCAATCAGGATGAATTCCACTTTCATTTAAAATATCTACAAAAAATATGTTTGATAAATTTGTTTATCATTTTAACAAAGCATTTATTGGAGCCTTAACTTATAAATTTGATTATTATTTTAATCCTCGTCAATTTGTTAAAGATTTAGAAGATGAACTTGTTGCTTTTTTTATAAGAAACTTTATACCTAGAGACTTAGTTAATTTTAAAATTTTAGATAGAGATAAAATTGAGTTTGCTCCTAAAAAAAATAAAGATATTTCTGTAGAATGGAGTTATCTAGGTTATAAAACAACACTAACTTTACTATATGATGCTCAAAAATTAAATCTAAGTAAATATAAAATTGATTATTTGATTAAACACCATATTGACACTAATCATTACGATAAGACAACTTTTGATACAGTTCCAGTAAAAAATGAAGATTTAATTCGTCTTTTTCTTCAAGCTTTAAAAGATGATAAAAAATATAGTGACTTTGAAAATGTTGATATTGATAAATATATAGATTTATTCGATGTTAAGCAAAAAAAAGAAGTACGAGCTCAAATAGGAGACGCTCAGGGACATAAATTTAGTTTTATTTCTAAACTATCTAATGTTGAAGGAGAAACTGGAGAGATATTATTTGGTATTAAGAAAAACCCTATTAAATTGGACAAATTAGTTGAAAGTTTTTTAAACGGGCTAAAAAAAGATAAACCTGATTTATTTAATCTTGAGATAGTAAATGATCATAAATTTTATTTTGATGAAAATGGAAAGCAAAAAAGTTTTGAACAAATAAAAAAACAGTATGAACAATTAATATACGATAAAATCCATTCTATTTTAGCAGATAAGGACCAATGATTTTTCCAAGCAATACAAAATCGACCAATAGAAATTAATTTTAAATTAGATAATTTCAATCTTACAAAAGATTTTAATTGACAAGAAGATAAATTAAAATTTGATATGCATTATCAAGGAGCGCCATCTAAATATTGATTTACTTATAAAACTATCACTTTCAATGACCTGTTAAAAATCTCGTTTTCTCATAAAGAAGTTCCTTGAGCGGTAATTAGTAAGTTGCATAAAGACATAGACGATAGCCAGCAAACCCACGAATTTGATATGACAAATGAAAGTGATACAAAAACTCACAAAGACCAAGTTACGGGATTGATGAATGATCGAATTGATGATTGAGTTGATATTAAGACATTCATTGATAGACTTATTAAAAAATTACCACTTTTTAAAGATGGAAGTATAGAATGATCTCGTGATTTTTCAAATTCTACAAATGGTTATTTTTATTACTCTACTAATAAAAACATAGTTTTAAAAGTCAGCGTTGATAAATATAATAATGGCGGCAACTATAAAAAGAGTCCTAAAGATGCTTTTTCTACAGGGAAATTAAATTTTGATATATTTTATCTCGACAATAACAATAAAATTTATAGTGATTGAAAATCAATAAACCCTTCATATAATTTGATAAATAGAGTAGAGTATGAATGATATGCTAAGTTTAGATCTACATTAGACAATAGAATTTACAACAATAGTTGAATTTTTAATAAAAATAGAAGTTGGGGATATATTAGAGATTGAATTAAAGATCAGCCAATTAAATGACTAAGACCAGAATTATGAGAAACTTACGATGTTAAATTTATTGATTTTAATGGTAGAGATTTTATTTATGAATTTGGCATTGAAAAGAAAAACAGGACCAAGCATGGACTAAGATATGTATTAAAACTAGGATCAGCCGATGATAGAGTTGGTGATCTTCCAACCGTTAGTAAAGGTGTAGTTAAATTTTGGGATGCAAATTTTTCACAAACATTGATAGACAAGAAGTTTAAAAAAATAGATTTGAAATTTAGACTCTATCGAAGTAATGATCCAAATAGAACTAATGAAGATTCTTTGTTACCAATTGGTCAATCAAAAACATATACTATAAGTTATGATTAATTTCTTGAATCAATATTTAATTAAAATCCATTCGATAAAAACAAAAAAATAGGATAATTAAAGTGTGAAAACTCTTTGTATTTTTGTGACTCATTTCAATCCAAAAAGTGATGGTGAAATGTATTATAAAAGATTTAAAAATTGGCAAATAGATGATATCAATTTTACTTTTACTTCTTCACCCAAAAACGAAACACAACCAATAAAACTAAAAATTGCTACAATTAAATTTAATTTAGATTTAATTGATAAACTAATTAGAATAATAAAAACAAGTGCTAAAAAAGCCCACATCTTAAACCCAGAAGAAAATGATGCACAAACGGGAATAGAACGGCAAAAAGGAACAATAGAATCTATAATCAATAGTTTAATAATGAAATACTCCATGATAGTTGAGTACTTTGATATTTTCGATTTTATAACCGAATTATTTATTAAATTGTTACAAAATCATATTTTTTATAATGGGAATAAAAGAACTAGTATTATTTCATTAAGCGCTATTTTATGGGGAATTTGGCTACTATTTAAAAATGAAGTATAAACGCTTCAAACAAATACATACAAGATTACGAACATAAAATCATTAATTTTATTAAAAAACTGCAAAGGACCAATGATAATATTACTGATTATAACCATCACTTAAAAACAGTAAAAGAAGAGATTAAAAATTGAATCATGGGTAGGATATCAATCGCTTTTAATTTTAGAAATGAATAAAAAAGTGTAAAATTAAGAATATAAAAAGGATTTGGTATGAAAAAGAAATTTATATTATGCGATTTACAACCTTTCTCTAAAAAAGAAGATATTCAAAAAGCAGTTGATAGAGTAACAGATCCAAATAAAGAAAAAGCTTTTTTGGCTCTACTTGAAAGTTTGGCTAGCAAATAATTTTTTTATTATTTAAGCTAACACTTAAAACAAATAAAAATAAATCATAATCAATGAATGATTATAGGAGAATAAAAATGAAATATAGATCTAAATTAGTCAATGAAAGACCTCTAAGAAGTAAAAAAGAAATTAGAGAAGCACTTAAAATAATTACAGATCCAATAAAAGAAAAAGACTTTTTAGAATCACTAAGAAGGTTAGCTGATGAATAGTTTTAAGCTAACACCTTCTTCTTTTTATTAAATAATTGATTTATTTTTGATAAATCAATATCACTATAGCTTACCTTTATTACTGGGCAAGCTATTTATATTCCATAAATTAATCTTATAAATATAAACTTTAATTGTATCTTGGTTAAATAACCCTAAGTCTTATCTATTAATATATTTTCAATATTTTTATCTATAAAATTTATTAATTCCTCTAATGAATGGTTTTTATTGTACCGACAATCTGCTCAGTTATTATCACATATCAAACATAATCTTCTATTTACTCTTTTAATAGGTTTATACTCTAAATTGTATACATCAAAGTCAATAATTCTATTAAATGGAAATTGCTCTTCTATAGCTAATAACTTATTTTTAATTTCAATAGGATTGTTTTGATCTAAAACAATAAAATAAGCATTGCCACTTACTAACTTTTTAAACTTATAAAATAATATTTTAAAAATATTTAGTTTGTAAAATTGCATCCAAATACGTTCTAAAAATAAAGAGTAGATCTCTTTATTTTTTATCATGCCTGGTATATTCAATTTAATGGTTATTACAGGTTTTTTATAGTGGTTAATTAATTTAATTAAGTAGTTATAGGATTTTTCTCTGTCTTTTAAAATACTATTTAAAGACATTGATAAATTTTTTCTTTTTCTTTTCCTTCTCTATGTTCTACTATAGCAACAACTTTATCTTTATTAAATTTGATTTCTTGTCCTTTACCTAAAAGGTTTTGAGCTTGATCAGCTAGGTGTTGAATATTGACTAATGGGATTTTTTTAGCTTTTAAAGTTTTGATTAAATCTTGACGATTAGGATTAACAGCTATCCCAAAATCAGTTACTATTACATCTACCGACTCACCTGGAGTTATGTTAGTAATAACTTTATTTGTTATACAAGGTATTCTACCTCTAAAAAGTGGAAGCGCTACTATAGAAACTTTAGCTCCCATTGCAGTGTCTGAATGGCCTCCACTAGCCCCCCTAATTACTCCATCTGATCCAGTAATAACATTGACATTAAAATTAACATCAACTTCTAGAGCCGAAAGAATAACAAAGTCTAGTTTATTACAATAAGGACTTTTATTAAATGGGTTTGCATACATATCTGCATCTATTTCGATATGTTTTTCATTTTTTAATAATGATTCGGCAGCACCCAAATCGAATGATTGAACATCAATCAATAAATTAGTTAAGTTTTCTTCTAATAGTTTTACTTGATGAGAAGTAATACCACCTAAACAAAAACCAGCTTTATATCCTTTTTCTATCATTTTGGTTTTTATTTCTTTAATTGCTGATAAAGATGCACCACCGGTTCCCATTTGC